GAGGAATGGCTGAAATAATTTTGACTTTGGATAGTCAAAGTGATTCTTTAAAATTTCAGGATCCTTTAGATTTGAATTCATTGATATTTCTTAGCTTAGAATTTAAACAGTTGGAACACTTCATCAGCATTTCCACAGTGCAAGTGGGGAAAGAGCTCAAAGAACTGGCCCAGGTTGTCACCAAGACTTTTAAATGGCTAGAACTCCTCATAAAACGTCAGGTTGTTCCCCAGGAATAATCTGAGTCCATGGCTCCCACTCTAGAATGGCTCATATTAAAGACACTCTTGGCTAAATGGATGTGATCCGAGATGGCAGAAAGAGTTTTTAGAGGCATATTTCAAAAGACACTCCGTGTGAATCATGGGCTGGTACGTTCACAACCCTGATGTCTCAGGCTCAAATCAAAGTCTTTTGCACTCAGTTGTTTTGCCGTGATGCTTGCTAGACAAGAGTCCTCTTGCGCACATTAAGGATTCACAGAGATCCTCTATTTAGAAGGCTGTGATTCAGCAATTAGGTTATCATGTGTTAAATAACCCATGGGAGAAGTGTGTGATCTTGTTTCCAGTCTTGGGAGACCCTCTGAGTGTGGGATGAGGCAGTGTCCCACAAGAAATTTCTTGGGGGCACTTACCTGAGAGGAAAGAACACAATTGCAGGCAGGCTAAGATGGTTTGTTGAGACCCATATGAGGGGCCTCTGGATCAGTGGGTTGTGGAGCAGATCTTTAAGTGGGTCACACCAAGTAGATATGTTTGCCAATTTCTCTGCAAATGAAATTAGTGGTGTTACACACAAGGCACTGAGAACAGACCGGACAGGTGAGGAATCCTTTTTCCATCCAGTGGAAAAGATAGTTTGGAACTGACTTTCAGTAAAATGGATTGCCAAGAACAGAGATGTCTCTTGCCTAAGTTGTTTGGCACTGATTGTATCTTTACAGCGTAGTTACAGGCAATTTATTTTTTTCTATTCTATTCACATTTTCATTTGATTAGATCTGAATATTTAATATAACATCATCACCCCAGAATGAGTGTATTTAAATGGAAATCTGGCACTTCTTTGACACTTAAGGATATCTTCCACACAGTGGTTTCCAGGTGGTTAGTGTAACTGCATATAATGTGTTACAACACAAGACACACAGCTCCTTTTTGGGGGTTTGTAGAGCTTGGGAGATCTTTATGAGAGTCATTGGGGATCTTGAAGAGAACACGAGGCAGGTACACTATCCTGCTACTCCCAGAGGCACTGATCCGGTGGTGTGATGATGAATGCATCCTTTACAGAAATACAATTCACTGGGGAGAGCAGGTAAACAAGATAAAAGGCTGCTTGCTACTTGGAAGAGGTGGATGTGCTAGCAAACCAAAGCAGTTTAGTCTTCAATCAGACTGCTTCAACCAAGAAGAGGTTTATTTGTTCACCTTGGTATTTCCCTATACTTTCTGACTATTGAGCTGTTACGAGAAACGCTTACTTCCTGTATTTTGTAGTCAGGTAGCCACAGCAGAGGCTCCCCAGGAATCCTCCTATCCCATAAACAGACACAATGAAGGACCACAACAGCATGATTGTCTCAGGATGGAGGGGCGAGTCGTGTCTCTCTATCCAGGTTTCATTAATAAACTTCCTGATGTGCTGAAAAATAAAATGAGATTTGACTGGACAATGGGTATAAGATCCCTTTATATTATTTGGCTGTTGTACTTTAGATCTAGCCTGTGGTTCTAATATTAGACTTCTTTTGAGACTAACTTTCTTAGTAAAACAAGTTAGCTGAGATCACATTGCAAAATCTTCAAGTTTGTACTGATACAAACTGATACTCAGTAAGCTTCCTGAGGAAGCATGCTAAAAGCACATTTTCTGCCTTCCTTTGGAGGCTTGTATACTATGTGGTAACAATTTATTTAAAACAGAAAGTACCATCCTGTTCTTTAAGGGAGAAAAAGTGCTCTAAACATTTGATGTTACTGGTAGCCAAAGAAAAGACATAGATGTATCAGCTGAATGCTCAGTAAATTTGAAATTTATGGGGGAATGGCAAGCTCAAGCTCTAAATTTTGTGTTTTCAACTTCAGGGAGATGGCTACTTACCACAGAAGGATAGTTGATGACGGAAATGTGGAATCCATATGGGAAACTGCCACCAATTCCCAGCACCAAGATCATTTGAAATAGTCCCCGGAACTGAACCTGCAAAGCAAAAATAAAATGCTCCTTCAGCTTCTCATTGATCTAGTTTTGTGCAGGGCCAGAGTCTTTGTAGCCACACTTGTCCTTCCCCTCTGGAAACCTGCATTGTCCACTTCAAATCCTTTTGGATTTGAACATTTTTCCAAAATCCCTCTAACCTACTGCCAAAGTATGATCATCAGCCACAGTGCCATAGCAAGACTAAGTGCTAGTGTAAGAGTGATAATCCACCACTTTGCTTGCAAGAAGGAGAATGAGTTTTAAAAGTTGTTCCCGATAGTACAGTTCTCACTGTATGCCTGCAATATCTGACAGGTTGACTGGATAAAGGTGTCAGTCCTGGATGTGGGGAAGAGAGAATCACTTTCCTTGTTTGCAATCTGCAGTAACCTATGTACATCAAACCATAATGTTATGCCACAAAAGTACAGCATTAAAAAAACCCAACATTTTATTGTACTCTCGGCTTTCATTTCTGACTGGGTCATATCTTTAAGCATAATAAAGAAGAGATCCTTTTAACATTCAACTTTTTTAGAAAGTCATGGACTACAAAGAGAAGATAATAATTTGGAATAGCCCCTGTAATTGCATTAAAACAAAAATCTTCCTGACTTTTTTTTGGGATACAATTTCTCCTTTTTCAATATTTTGGTTTTTCTACTTATTTAACCATGAAAGTATATACTTGCATATTGAAGGGCTTGGCATCTTCCAGGCTAGGGAGATACTGTCTGTCTATAATTTCTTTGGCCAAGGATTAGGGACTGAGATATGCTGGCTGCTTTGATGAATGAAATAATTTTAACTGTAAATAAGGAAAACCAGAACATGTAAATACTCAGACCTTTTTGAGGTATGTGATAGCACTGGACATCTGTCCTGTTTCCAAGTGTCTGCAAGGCTAGATGGAGCTATCCTCAAACAGCTTAGACTGTACCTAGCAGACCAAACCTAGGACAATTGTGATTTTAGCCCCATCAGAATCTGTTCAGTGTCCTTTGGGGTTTAACTGCCTCTCCCTTTTTGTTCAGCACATCACAGAACAGGACAGTAACACCATCTCTGTACAGGGGACACTGTGCTCTGTGTTCTTTTCATGTCAGATATGAACTTCATGAGCTCACAGCTTTTTAGAGATCAGTGCCTGGTGAAGAGAAGCTGGTAGAAAATGCAACCAGGCAGGAACAAAGTAGTGCAAGTGTTAATAATGCTGGACTGGGAGGTACTTAGAAGAATGCTCCTTTTTATCGTTCTTAGGTCCATCTTTCAAGAGCTTGTTTCTTAATTAGTCCACAGCTGGATTTCCCAAGTTATCACATGACAAGAACCACCTGGCTATGGACCAGCAGACTCCAAATTGCCTTAAAAATCCTGTCTCAAATTCAGTGGATTTGCTAATTGGCCAAAGCATTCACACAAATTAAGAATTCACCTTCTCACTCTTACTTTTTCTTGCAATAGACTTACAAATTAACAATTTTAATACTTAAAAAGGAAAGCAAAATAGCTTCTTGCTGGCAGTTGAGAAATGGAGCAAGAAATACTTATCACCTCTTCCCTGTTTAAGACTATGGAAACTCTTGATGGATAATATTAATTATCTTTGGATGAAATGAAGAAAGTAATTTATTTTAAAGCTCATGTCATGAATTTCTTAGCCTTTTGCAGTACAGTTAATATATTCATTACTTTGGGAAGTAATTAGAGTGCTTAATAATTAGTATTGTTTTCAGTAATTCAGAAGACAAAAATACAGTAGTATTGTTAGTGGTGGAACTGCCAGGACTTTTGTTAGTTTTTATTTTATTTTTATTTTATTTTATTTCATTTCATTTAATTTCATTTCATTTCATTTTCTTGCATGGAAAAGACCATGCAATATGATTTTCATGGCCCCAAGCCCCATTGTTCTTGGTGATGTTTAAATGCGGAAGAGAAAGATGGTCTCTGTCCCAACAGAGCTTACAACCTTTAAGGAATCTGGATCTTTAGTATTATGTTAGCTTTGTCCTTTATAAGTCAGAGCCCTGAGAAGAAGTGACCATATACTCACCAGGTCAGAGAAGAAGGTAGCCATCTCCTATCAAAGAGCCGATTCCTGTTGCTTACTGGCTAGTACCTGCCAAAAGAACAAATGCTGGCATTATGCAATAGCAGTGTCAGTGAACTAGTCCCATGTTATTGAAGTTAAATTTTACTTCAAAGGTTTTTGAGTTAATTACACATATTTCAGCTGTTGTACAAAGTTTAGAATTGTTGGATTAAATATTTCAACCAATGGTTGTGTCTAGCCCAAGTAAACAAGATGGTCTCCCTTGTGGGGAACATGTATACTTCCTGAACTCTGTCTTGTGCTAGGGGGTTAGGGAACTGAGACATCAATTTTAAAAATTATTCCAATAATCATAACTTGCTTAGTTTTCAGTATAAGCGGAGAAACATAAAGACAAAGTTATCTGCTGGGAATCTTAGATGGGGAATCTTGGACAGTGAACTATAGGACTTTGACATATAATAGGAAGGAGCTATTCTCTCTTCATGTGACGGCAACTGGAGCACATCGTAACTTAATCATTACTTAAAGGAATTGAAATGCTCCATCATTTTGGAATAGGGTATAAACTTAACTATTCTGCAGTGGCACACCAGGTTTGACCAGCTAAATACTTAATAGTAGCTGATTTCCCTTTGCTGGGAGAGGAAGATTCAACGTCATGCAGTTTTGTCTGGCATTTGCCATTAGTCAGTATATTCATTTTTGTGTCTGTGAGAAAAAAAGATTGCTTTGAAACTGTCCTGTAACCTCCATAGCTGGAGTGCTGTATCTTCCTTCAGACAGAAAATTCTCAGGCTTTAACTTCATTTATTTCATAGTTAAGAGGGTTTTGTATGTATTAAGCTGGTAAATGGCTTAAATATCATTTGCCATTTACACTTCAGTTAAAGAAGATGAGGATGAAGAAATCATAACGGGCTTATTGGGTGCAAGTAGTCGTATTTACTAGAAAATACATCACATGCAAAGAATATTCACAGAATCTCTAGCTAATGTCTGAAATGTAGCATTAGCGCCACCCGGCCATTTCTCCCGTCCTTATGTGGTCCTCATCGTGAAGCGTACTTTGTTGTTGATGTGTGCTGAGAGTTCATGACGGGTTTTTTTCCAGATTAGGTTCTCCAGCAGATAAGCTGTTGTTAGAGCACAAGCGAGGCTGTCCCTTTGATGCTAAGAATTAGTTTCCTTTTCTGTAAAGTCGTACAAAGTTGAAACAACATAACGTGCATCTGACAAAGGAAAGAAATGCCATGTCAGCTGCTAGTATCTGCCTTGCTTAGATGATATTGGAGGAAGACACAAGCAGGCAATAATATGTAGCTACCAGCGTGGGGCATTCCTTCCCAAATGCAGCCTGTTGCAGAGATTTTCTTATGTTCTGCTTCACCCACTTCTACTTAGTATAATTCATACGTATTGTAACTTTTGCTCCTTGCTCTTGTACTTTAATTTAGGATTCCTACTTCTGGTAGTTTAAGAGTCTTCCTCCTGTAATGCCCTTAATGTGTAATGTCTTCTGCATTTATGTTGACGAGTTACTGTACTGCTTCTGTGCTCTTATTACTTACACTGTGCTGAGGCCCCCTGTATTAGATGTGCAGTTTCATAATTAGTGCTAACAACTAGTTAGCAGATATCTTACAGATATCCTTTAGTCATAATTGTGATCAGGACAGTAAATCTCACAGCATCAGGTAATTTAGTCATTTATCTTGCAATTTTACAGTCACACGTGACACACATATGCCAAGCTGTGCTAGGCCTTCCTTAATACAGGTTAACTAGACCAGATCTATGTTTTTTGTGTCTAGCTGACAGCAGTTTGCTGATCCAGTTTTTAAGTGTTTATATCTGCCTTAGTTGGAATCAGTATTTGAGACATATCTATCAGCTGATGTCTCTGGAAGAAAATGTACATGTAGTTTTCCTGAAGCTTCTGAATGACTGTCCTCTTTGTCACCTCCCATGTATATTTGAACCATACCTTTTTGCTGTTTCATCTCTTGACCAGACTGTTACAGAATACAGCTCTTGCTCCACTGAGCACAGGCGAAGGCTGACCTGTGCTCCAAATAACTGTTCCGCTTCGTTGTCACATTAATGTTCCATAGGGCATCCGCTCGCTTCCTGGTGAGGATCTTATGGGGAAGACTTTCCTAATAACATCAATGAATAACTGAGACCAGAGAAGTGGCTCACTAGAGAGTCACTCCAGCAATGCTACACGATGTCACTCCGCTTATGTTTCCAAAGACTAGTTTTAAAGGTAGTTTTAAATCACGTTGTTATATATATATGGAACACTACAAAGTTATTGAGCTTTTCTGACTTTAAGGACACTTCATGTTTCATAGATTATCTTCTAGCGAGAGGTCTTAAGTGTCCCTCAATAGTAAAGACAGGAATAATGAAAAACCCCAATCATGGAAGGGTATGTGCACCAATAACTTTTTTTCTAGTCAGCTGTCTCTAAGGGAGATCCTGTTCTTGGGAGAGAAACATTTGTGGAGGCCAGAAGTTTTCTTACAAGGCAATCTGCCATTTTTATTATTTTTCACATTTCCAAATAAAAATAAGCAGCAGTTAAGATGAACAATTGAATTCATATTTTGAATAGCCTTATTTGAGTTCAAGTAAATATGCCAGTCAAAGCAATATCAGAGATAAAAACACTTATTTTACTCTGCAATTCTAGAGTTTAGATTTTAATTTGCATAGTGTGCTCCAATGTGAGCCTTAGCTTTTTTCACATTCTTGCTAATAGTATTGCTTTTCTACTAGGATTGAGTGAGCCTCTCATTAATAGAGGGAAATGTGCAGAAAATTAGACACTTTCTAAAGAAAAGAAAAGTCCCATGAGTTTGCATATTTCAAAAAAAGTTTCTGGTGAAATTAATCCCTGTGGTACTTTACAAGATCACGCTATCCTATAAGGCTCACAAACTCTTTTTACCTTCAACTATGTATAGCAGGAAGAAGAATTAGGAACTCAGTATCAGACTGCCTTGAAGATCATTCACAGTTTGAAAGCCTGCAGTATGTGAACTCAAGCACAGATGTTGATTATAGATCAGTGTAGAAAATCACATTGCATTCATTCCTATAACAGAGATTATCAGGAATGGTATATCACACTAAAATCTGGAAGTTAGAAAACTTGCATATGATATGTTTTAACATATTATCTCACTTTGTTTCCTTATCTTTGTGCACACTACATGCTTGTAAAAATTGGCAAAACTCCTATGAGAGACTGTAAATGAAACCATAAATTGTTGTTGGAAATGCTTAAATGAATGCCTTAGAAGTTCCTTATGTTAGAATTACATTTCCCGCTTTTACTGTAAATGAGTGACAAAATATTCAAGGCATAAAATATTTACAGTCATCTCTACAGCTGTCAATCAGTATCTACACTTGCAGTGAACAATAACTGAAGAGTCTGTACTGGTTACACATCCTGGAAATATGAGGATATGTGATCACTTCTTAGTCATGATAGAAAAATACACCCTAGGCAGGAGCCCTGTATGTATCCAAGAGCTGGAGGACATGACTGAGCTTTTGCTGACAGTATGCTGAACATACAGCGAGGTACTGTACAGATGTTTTCAGGAGAAACTGTAAAGCAACAGGTATTCTGTTACAGCCAGGAGTTCCAGTCTGGGGCAGTTCTGGGGTAAACTGGGTCCAGGTAGCCAAAAGTCACACAAAGGAAAGTAGCAGCTAAATTGCTATGGGATTCATAGCCCATGAGATATCTGAGGGAACTCTGATCCTGGAAGAGGAGCTACGGACTTGAGATGACGACGGTGATGGGCAAGATAGCACAGAGTATCTAAAATGACTCTAGGTGCTTATGTTTTATGGCGACTGGATTCCACCCATGAGTCCTTTAGCTGTATTGCCACTGAAAGGCACTATTCCTTGAGAATCGTTGTATATGAACTTTTCCCCCATACTTTATCATGATCAAGTCTGAGCTTAGAATCAAATGGCTGAATTTTTTAGCAAAAAATTAAATTTAAGTCAAACCAAGGAGGGCTGCTGACATGGAAAACTTCAATCCAAAAGGGTTGAAGTCTGTCAAACTAGATACAACAGAAGGACAACATGGCTTTATGCATGGGAACCTGGCAAGGTTTGATTATTCAGTTGAGTCTAGAGAAACAAAGAATTTCTCTCCTATAATACTAAATTTTTTCTTTAATCTGTTATGGATTGAAACCTGGCCAGAGACAGCAAGCCAAGAACTTCACTATTCCCATTTCAGGGTAGTAAAAACACACTCGGAAATCATAGAGAGGGGATCACAGGTCTTCCCTTTCTCTGTGGTCAGCAGAGTGTTTATAAGTTCTACATGTGATTTCAGTGTGTATTAGTTGCTCTGTTATAGAAGAGATTTACACATCAGCAAGTTAAGCCAAAACGCTCATGATTCACACGAGTCTATCCTGTTAGTATCAGCCATCATCCCTTTTCGAAGCTGCCCAGAGTGGAGTGCTTGAGAAAGGTGCTGGTTTGGCAAAATGGGAACCTTGTAAGTGACAGATATGAAAGCTGTCCGTCCATTTGGACTGACTTGCTAGTCAGAAAATGACAAGTGTCTTTTTTTCCATCCTTTTGAGAAAGCCTGACTCCCCCTAACAGCAGGTCAAAGCCTGGTGCAGAAGGTGTAATCCTCTGTGACATGATCTGGAGTTTCTGGAACATGCTTCTTTTTAAAGTTTAGCTTACTGAATTCTTCTGTGATTTCCATGATTGATTTCCCTTTTGTTTCTGGAAGGAGCAGGTGGATAATTATCCCTGAAGTGAAAAGTACCCCCATAGAGATGAGGAAGCAGAAGTGCTTGAGTCTTTCCTGCAGGGAAGAGCAAAGTGAGAAAGAGAGCAAGATGAGCATATCTTTTCTTTTGTCACTTTCTTGGCACAGTTTTTGTGTTTGGGTCCCAAAGTACTTAGAATTTGATAAGGAATTCTTTGTATTTTGACCTTTGACAAATATTTCAGTCTGAATAAGT